ATCCGTTTTCACAAGAGAAGCAGACTTTACCCCATCTAATTCTGAGAACATGAGAGATCCCACTATCGAAAATATTGTGTTTCGAGAAGAAGCGATTTTGGAAGAACTGAAAAGCTTGAAGGAATGTAAATCTCCCGGTCCGGACGAGATTCCAGCAAAGCTGCTCTTTGAGCTTGCCCAACAGCTGGCCAAGCCACTACCCTTTCTGTGCCAGAAATCGTTTGATGCTGGAATTCTTCCCACAGACTGGAAGACGGCCCACATTACACCCCTTTACAAAAACGGTAGTCGTGCTCTGGCGACAAACTACAGGCCCGTCAGTCTGACATCAATCTGCTGCAAAGTGATGGAGAAAACCATCAAAAAGGAGTTGATGGCTTACTTGGAAACCCACAACCTCTTGTCCAATGCACAATATGGTTTTCGTAGGGGAAGATCATGTGTTGCGAACTTGCTATACACAATGCAAAGTTGGACACGAGCACTGGACGCAAAAATCACCGTGCATGTTGCCTATATTGATTTCCGGAAGGCGTTTGACAGTGTTCCGCACCAGCGTCTCCTACACAAGTTGAGAATTATGGCATCGGTGGCAAACTTCTCAAATGGATCGAAAATTTCCTTGTCGGCCGCTCCCAAATTGTCTGCGTAGAACAACAGCAATCAAGGTGCACATTCATAGAGAGTGGGGTCCCACAAGGCTCGGTGCTCGGACCAACCCTTTTTCTCTTGTTCATCAATGATTGTGTAGATGGGTTGGACTGTGATTGCGCCATGTTTGCGGACGACATAAAAATCTGGAAAGTTATCCAGAATGCTGCCGATGAGACCAACTTCCAAGAAAATCTTTGTCGATTGGATGATTGGTCCCGCAGATGGCTCTTGTCCTTCAATTTGAACAAATGCACCATTCTGCGCCTCGGCAATCAGACCCCTAGTACGCGGCAATACCATCTGAACGGAATGCCAATCCGAGAAGCAGAAACTCAGAAAGATCTCGGAGTTTGGGTTGCAGACAGCCTAAAGCCTTCTACACAATGCTGTAAGGCGGCCAAGGCCGCAACCTCAATGCTATATGCCATCAAGCGGGCATTCGTAGTTTTCGATAAAGACTGCTTCACCAAAGTCTTCGGCACGTTTATAAGGCCCCATCTCGAATATGCAATTCAGGCCTGGAGACCGTTAACGCATCAGGATTACGATCTGCTCGAAAGGGTGCAGAGACAAGTAACAAAATTAATAAGAGGTCAAAGTGCACTGCCATACGAGATCCGCATAACTAACCTTAATCTCTATCCTCTGAGTTATAGGCAGTTGCGCGGAGACATGATACAAACTTGGATTGTGCCCTTCGGCGTGATGACTTTTTCCAACTCGCCACTACAACTCACCTCCGGGGACATCCCTTCAAGCTACGTGTGCCACAGGGTAGACTGAATGTGAGACAATATTTCTTCTCCAACCGTGTCGTGGAACCGTGGAATAACCTGCCCGAGACGGTTGTTATGTCTCAATCTGTGGAGACATTTAAATGTAGCCTTGACAGATATATGCTGCAGCAACAAGCGGACTATGTGACCTTTTAGCCATGTGAACCAATGTATGCATTCACTTAATGCTGTAATTTCTTCACATTTTTGCTTGTTTATCGATTTTTTTATGTAGAAATAGGGAGTTCAAAGGCGTAAGCCTATTTCCCTCAAATACACTGACTGACTGACTGATCACTGGCTAAAGAATTTTGGGTATTGTAGATACAACCATTAAATTGCCTTTCTTTGAGGCGAGAGAATAACAGGTGCAAAGCAGAAGTTTCCCGTGAATGATGAGACATCCAGGAAATAGGGAAAGTGCATCAGGTAGGATCTAAAATAAAGAAGACAACCGCCCCCCACACCTCGTCGTGCGGTCTTGACGGTAAAAATCGAAGTCATCTATAAGAAGAGCAGAGTCAGGAATTAGAGAATGTGTTCAAGATTCTGTTAGACAGACAATATCAGACGGCATTTCGAGAGCGATGGTCCTGATTTGGACTATCTTATTTTTAACGGATCTGGCATTCACTAATATAATATCTGTGGTTTTTCGAACAGCAATGCTATTGTCGACGATATTTAAAAAAATTGGAGGCGGATATGTAAGCTGTGAATAAATGATGCTTGAAGAATAAGTACCAGTTAGACTAGATAACTTTATGCCTAATGGTCAAACATTTACATGATATCAATGACTGGCACAACTGCTATGTAAATATCTGCATGCTTTTTTTCATAGGTCTATCTGTAAAGAGGGATTTCCAAGACTCTGCCTCTATCTTTCATATAGACTGATATGTAAAGCTTTTTGAAAATGTATCTGCGTGTGATAATGAGTCGAAAGTCATAAAAAATGTGTTCATGCTTCTCGATCAAGTTATAAATACGCATGATAGCCGAAAGAACTAGTTTATCGGCAGTAAATTTAGCTTCAATCATGATTTATAATAGGGAGTGCATAGGGATTTAGGTGTTATTTTCGTGTAGCTTTTTAAATTGGATAATTGTTTATGTAGAAACGTATAAAAATCCTTGAAAATAAACCAATTTCAACTTATCTGGGGTCTGAGGATCTCGAACGGTTGTGCACAATCGGGCTGACTACTGAGACTAGGGTGAGACTAGTGGTTCCCTAATCCCACTCGTGACAAACACAAGACTATTCGGTTGCGACCTAGCAACAGGTGATGATCAAATTAAAAAAACCCCACCTAATCTAGGGTTATCAAATAAAATAATTTAACGAGCTAAGAGACCTCGATGTGTGAATGCTCTTCACTCTCAGTCAACGTCTTACTGCGATAAGGTATCGGAGAAAGCAATATAAATCTTGGACATGATTAGGAGTTCCCTCCTCAGTTTGAAGAAGAGTTTTTCGGTCGAGTCTTTAGAACATAAGTCCGGGCAATGTTGAAGTACTGCGTCCAGGCGCGGCGCCCCCAGACGGGACAAAGTACACCCTGTTGGAGAATGCAAGTCAAACAACGACCGAAATGACAAGTGGGTTAAAATACCTATCCAAAGTCAGAGGTCTATAAAATAATCTCTTCTCTCTTTGATAGAAATCACACTGGGAATGTGGTCATGGCCTTTGAAATCGCTGAAGGAGTTGTTTTTGCTCTTCAGCTCAGTTTATTGAGGGAAATAGGTGTGAGGTTTTGAATACCCTATTTGCAACGTAAGAATATGTGGTGTACAGAAAATTTTCTGGACTGAAATAGGTCAAACGAGCGCATAATGGTAGGACAAAAGTGGAGCAAGTCACAGGGAATGAGCTCGACCTCTCATCGCTGTTAGTCATTTCAGAACATAATATGTCGAGGTTCTTTTTAAAACTTTGTGTAAACGGTGACATCAAAACATCAGCAGGAAATGCATTCCATGCTTTGACCACTTAACCAGTGAAGGAGAACTCTCCCACATCCAGTCTTGACTGTTGAGTGGGCAGTTTAAACGTGTGACTTCGGAGGTTGGTCGTGGTGGGAAATTCAAAAAGTCGTCAAAGACCAGGCTGTAACTCAAAGGGAAGTGGTACAGATTTATTTGGCGGGATACAAAAGGAAAGGAGCTTTGGCCCCCTAACCAGCTTCGTGGCCATCCTCTGAACTGTTTCGAGGCAATTTTGATCTTGAACTGCCTACGATCTCTCGGGTTCCACGCGTGGCAGCACGAAGGTTCCGAAAGCATCTTCGTCAAAATCCATAAATGCACGCTAAGTGGCGTACTGTACGGACACTGCGCATTTTGCCACTGTCGTACAATGAGCGGATGGTTTTAGGGAGTTCGTCGTCAGCATAGCAAGGTCTTTTTGGACTTCGACACCTCGTAAAGCTGCGCATTCCAGAAAGCAGTTTCTTGTATTGACGGATCTGGCTGTGTTGCCTAGGCGAAGTGACAGTTCGATCATCGATTTCGATGATGTCCACCGTGTGCCCCACAGCAGGTTGGAACAGGGACGGTGACTTGCGCAGGGGTTTATAGTGCGGGTAGACTTGCGCTGCATCTACCTACACTCTCTCCACCTCCACCTCCCTCGCCCGAGCCCGGTGTCAAGACAGAGTCAAGAAGACCGGAGACGAGGGAGGCGGTAGGTGGATGGCTCGGACAAATCCTCACCTTGGCGTTCCACCACACCCCCTGGTCCACACAACAATAACCAGGATTTCAACCAACACAAGAGAGATTTGGAGGCTGGCACGGCCGAAGCCGCACCTAGGCGTGCCACCAACGCCTGGCTCGGATCCCACACTGTGGTGGGAGTGCCATAAAGGCCACATTAAAAAGGAGCCATTGCAGCCTGACTCTCAGACCGCCTCCCGTTAAGGAGGGGGTCCAAGGTACCCCGTCAGTTGGCAATCTTCCAAGCCACGGCTTTTAGCGCACCGTGATAGCTTCAAGCGCGTCAGATTGTTTATAGTGAGGAAAGTGCGCTGAGTCGTCTACCTCACTCTCCACTCCCATTCCCACACCCCAGCCGCCGTCCGAGCCGGTCGGCAAACTGGAGTGGTGGATGGGCGCGGTGGCTGCCACGGTCGACTGACCGTGACTGCGCGCGCCACAGCACGACCTGGCCCCCCATACACACAACACCAGGATTTCACACAACGGGGGTTGAACGGCGTGTCTCTCACTTGCGTGAGAGGGCCGTGGAAGGTGCTGCTTCAGCCCGTTCCCAGCCCACCAGTCCGCCACTCCACACAGCACACACACAAAGCGACGAACTGCGTGAATCGAGAGCGGGCATCAATCAGCAACCTTACTATCCACGACACTTGAAGTGTCGGGATAGTCTCGGACTCAAATCACCCGTACAGCCGAAGCAGCGTGGGAACCGAGTCGAGATGCACACTTCCCACTTGCGTGGAAGGTGGCAGTTGGTGCATGCGGTGGGTAAGTGTTGATGTGTGTTGGTGATGGTGGAGGAGGGTAGGGAGTGTGTGGATGTGTGGTGTAACCGGCGGTTGTCTACCGCAGGTCGTCGTGGATGCGCATGTGGCCGAATAGGCCCATGCGGTGCCTGAAAGTGCGAGGACAGTGTGGGCAGTGGAGGCGAGTGCGGTGGATGTAGGTTGGTGATCCAGGCACTGGTTCGCCAGTCTCTGTGCGATGGATTCGCAAGTGACCGACCAGGCCGATGCGTGAGGTGAATGTGCGTGGACAGTGTGGGCGCGTGAAGTCGGCGGTGTCAGAATCAGCTACAGAGGAGGCGTTGGTGGTGGCGCAGATGGACGGTGCGAGGGTTGTGATGGGCATGATGGGCGTGGTTGGTGTGTCGGAATTGTGGTCGATTCCGCTCTCGTGGATGCGCATATGGCCGAATAGACCCATGCGATGCGTGAAGGTGCAAGGGCAGTGTGGGCAGTGTAGGCGAGTGCGGTGGTTGTAGGTTGGTGCTTCAGGCACTGGTTCGCCGGTCTCTCTGCGATGGATTCGCAAGTGACCGACCAGGACGATACGTGAGGTGAAGGTGCGATCGCAGTGAGGGCAGGTGTAGTCCTGATTCTCATTGCTGGAGTCAGGAGAGGCGGGGGTGGTGCCGGTTGTTGTGTCGCGGTCGGTGATGTGCGAGACGGCTGCCTGAGCGGCCGCCGTTGGGGCGGTGGTGGTGGTGGGGGTGGTGGTGGAGGAAGAGGAAGAGAAGGAGGCAGAGGAGCCAGAGGAGACAGAGGAGGCAGAGGAGGCAGAGGAGGAGGAGGAGGAGGAGGAGGAGGAGGATGGAAGTGGTGGTGCAGAAGGAGTGTCAGAGTTAGTTGGCGGAAGAGCGGAGGAAGAGGCGGGCGGGGGGACGATGGCTGGAGCAGTTCGAGAGGTGCAGTTGATCTGAAGATGTCCAACAAGTCCGATTCGTGCCCGGAATGTCCGTTGACATCGAGGACACGTAGGGAGCGGTTGTGCGGCGGCGTTGCGTGTTGGGCGAAGTTGTGATTTGCGGGCTTCGCGTTTCACTTTGGCGGCAGCGATGCGGTTGGCTTCGTGGATAGCAGCGCCAGTCTTCACTGTTCTCCTCCATGCCGGACGATCGCAGGCGAGCTCTTCCCAGTTGGTCGGGTTGATTTGCAGTAGCTTCAGGGAGGACTTCAGGGTATCCTTGTATCGACGAATTGGGCCTCCTTGACGACGAGAACCCGTCGCGACGTCTCCGTAGAAGAGTCGTTTGGGTAGCCGCTCGTCGTCCATGCGCACCAGATGGCCGCTCCAGCGCAGCTGCATTTGTCTCAACATGGAGTACATGCTGAGCATTCCCGTTCGTTCCAGCACATCAGTGTCGGGGATGCGATCCTGCCAGTTCAGCCGCAGGATGCGACGAAGACAACTGAGGTGGAAGTGGTTCAGTCGGCGTGCCTGCCTCGTGTACACCGTCCAGGTCTCTGCTCAGTACAGTAGCGTCGGCAGGATAACGGCCTTGTACATCTTCAGTTTCGTGTTCAGTTGAAGACCGTGACGATTCCAAACTGCGCTTTGGAGACGACTGAAGTATGCTACATTTGTCAACGTTGAACCGCAGGAGCAAACGGTTTGACCAGTCGGCGGGAATACAGTGTCGCAACACTTAGAATTGTCTATTCCCCCACCAGCCTGTCTTACGGGCGTACTACTACTACTACTACTACTACTACTACTACTACTACTACTACTACTACTACTACTACTACTACTACTACTACTACTACTACTACTACTACTACTACCACTGCTACCGCCACCACTACTACTGCTACTACTACCACTACTACCGCTGTTACTACTAATACTACTACCACTGGCGGGAATACAGTGTCGCAACACTGAAGAAAACTTATTTCCCCGTCTACCACCACTGATACGGCGAATACTACTAATAATCCTACTATTAGTACTACTACTACTACCACCGCCACCACGGCTGCCAATGCTACTCTACCAACGCTTACAGTATGGGTAACTAACTGCAATAATACTAGCATCAGAAACGGAGTGTTGCGACACTGGTATCCAACCGACCAGTCTTCCAACCGATTCAGGTTCATGTGCAGTCGTCGTCGGCAGGGCCCAAATTGCACACCATATCTTCATGCTATCGGCAAACATTGCCGCCCCGCAGTCCAAAGATGATAAGGATGATAATTTTATTTAATGTCAGTTTACAGGCATTGTCAAAGGAAGCGGTAAACACAAATCTGACCAGCAGTGAAAAAACTCTTGAGGTAAAGGAATGAAAATATAGTTAGTGGTGGTTTTTATGGTTTGGAGGGTTCGGGAGAAAAAACTGCTGGCGGCAGACATTCGACCGTCAAGAAGGGGGGGGGGGGGGTTGCACGATGCACAAAAGCTGCTGTCGACCCACAAGAAAGTTTTCCATCCATTTGAGGAATTTGAAACAGATCCCTATTTTTTCATCTTGTGTAATAGTCTCTGGTGTGGCACAGTGTCGTACGGCTTCTGGAGGTCAATGAAAGTTATGTGGGCCGCTTGCCTGTCGTCGATGACTCGGGTCCAGCCCTAGAGATATTGCAGTAAGTTCATCCTGCAGGATCTTTCTTTCCGGATTCCATGTTGGCAGTTCGATTGCAAGTCATGAACTTCCAGGAATTGCATCAATTCACTCATCATGATCCTCTCCATAACTTTGCAGAGAATGCATGTCAAGATGATGGGCCTATTATTTGTAGTCGGTGTCCTGCTACCTCCTTTGTATAGTGGAGTTGACTTTGCCAACTGGCACGGATTACGAACTGTTAGAATCACCAATACAAATTGAATTCAAACTGAAGTGAACCTAAGGCACGTATTAACTGCTTGTCAGACTGCGTGATTGAGGAATGTAACAAACTGCCAACGCCGGTCTTCCTGTCAGAAAGGACTGACGCATCTAAAAAAAGCCTTCAACATGCGTGCTGTGTTATCATATATTTACTTGACGTCAGTGACTGATATAATGTACCCCAAGCTCTATGCAAATATGTCGCCGTTTCCATCTAGATTTTCG